CTCCTCCAGTATACATCTCTTTTCATATGACTTGTCAATCTCATGAGGTCGATCAATAGTAAACCATTAAAAAAATAATGTCTAGTCCAACTTTTTTTCTCATTCGATTAGATGTAAACTTAGATGTGCATCATCATCATCCTTAGCGCAAAGTAATTTCCACCAATGTTCTCTGTCCCACCAATTCCTTATTCCTAAAACATTAACGTCACTGCTAATGCAGTCTTGCCATATTGGTTTAGGCCTTCCTACTTTTCTTTTGCCTACCGGGTCAGTGCTGAAAATTAGATGTGCATCATAATTTGTTATAAATCACTAGTTTAAAGAGTAGTATGTAGGATGAACTTACAGTACACAACAGAGAAAAACTTAAAAAGATAAACATTTACCTTTATAACAAACAATTAAAATTTATGAATGCATTATATGCCAGCTATATAATGCATTAGATTATTATATTATGTACAGTACTCAGCAAATATAAGTACACCCCTCATAAATCTATCTTAAAAATATTAATTTTAATAGGAAGCTATACAACGTTATATTTGTGCATATACATTAGATTAGTCAGTACGGAAGCCAAAACTGGAGCTTACCTAACAAAATAACTTATAATAACTGTACAAAAACTAGTACAGCCAAATTTATGTTACAGAAAAATATTAAATACAAATTTAAAAAGAGGACAAATCAAGAGAAGCAAAATTTTAGAAAAATTTAGTTGACATTTTGTGGGTTGTAATTTATTTTTGCAATATTTAGCTTGAATTTAATTGTACTATCTTTCAATTTCTAAATACGTTTGGTGACTTAAATATTATTTTAATAAATATATTTGTTTAATAAATCTGTTTTATTTAAATGCACCAAAATGCATCACCTATATTCACTGAGAAATGGGTAAAAACATTCATTTTCAAAACAGGGTGTACTCAGTTATGCTGAGCACTGTGTTACATAAAAATGTGTATGTATGCATTTCCTCTCGAAGTAACTACCTAAAGGGGTAGTTCACCCAAAAATCAAATTCTGCCATCATTTACTCACCTTTTACTTCTTCCTGTTGGCTTTCTTCTTTTTAACACAAAGAACAATGGAAACACTTTTGGTGACAATTTTCACTATCACCTACAGTACCTGCCTATTAAGGTGTTAAAGAGTACTAAAAAAAAGATTGTATTCTGCATCCCTAATTCTACCCAATATCCAAACCCAACTATTAATAAACAGCGAATTAGTAGTTTAATGAACTAATAATTTTTGTTAATGTTTTTTTTTATGTTAGTGTTTTATAAAGTGTGCATTGTACATTAAAATAAAGAGCAACCAGAAAGATATAATCAAGAGCTTTGGGGAAAATAACAGCCTGTTCATTCTTTAGAGTATCTTGTTTTGTGTTCAACAGAATTGTGTTCAAAATTTATTAACCCTTTAACAAGCATCGTAACCACCTGGTCTACCTTTTATCCATAGGCTATCATTATTATTGTAATTGCTTATTATTATAATTATTATTATTTATAAGAGTTGTGTCAGTATATTAATCAATGCGTGGGCCAAAGAGTGCACCTTGAAAGGGTTCAAATATATGGTGATCAAATTTTCATACTGGGATGAACAAGTGTCTTAAACGGATTCCAACAGTATTTAATCTCATCTTCTGCTGTTTCCCAGGTTCCACATGCGTCCACATGGAAGAACCCGGCTCTGGGAAAAGTGAACCGCTTCTGCAGAGAGAGCCGCTGTATGGATCAGTGGGTGCCCATTATCAACCTTCCAGAGCGATGAGCAGAACTGAAACCCAAAATCGGGTGAAAAAACAACACGAATCAAAAAATATCTAGCAAAAAAAGATAAAAGCTAAAAAAGGTGGTCACAAAAAGGACTGAGAGTTCAGACCGGACGGAAGCTCCTTCAGAATACCCTGGAGAAGGAGGAGGAGGAGCTCTCTCTTGCAATGATTCAGCAGTTTTTGGCTTTGTTTGTGGGACTTTCTGAGGACGTCACATGAAGCTAATTGTGAATGGAAGTGAGCACCTGAGTATCTTGTGACAGTTTATTGACGGAGTGTCATAAAGCACTTCAGATAATGACAGGATAGCAGATTTCTCAGTGGACTGTTTTCCAAAGGGGGCTTCCCTTGTTTGTAGATTTGCCATCAATTCTGAATAATATATCAGCAGTACTTGTTTATGAATGTTGCAAATGAAATGATTTTAAAGGGACTTGCTTCATAACCACTGAGATCAAAACTATGCATTCATGATATCCTGTACCATTTATTATTATTTCTTATTTTACATAATTGTTTTTTGTGGTCTTTAAATTATTTTATTATATTAATTTAAATGAGTATTTATGTACGACTTTTTATACTATTATATATTGAACTGTGAAATGAGTTTTGTGTTGTAATAAAAAATACATTTAAACTCAATACGCTAGTCACGTGTGCTGCTCTTCTTTTAGACCTTTCTGGACTAGCAGAACTGACTGGTTGAGATCAGCAGGGTCACGCTGGACTCCATGGCCTTCGTGACTCTCACAAAAGCCATCCAAGCCTTTCTTTTGTCCTGCTTTAGTTTAGCGTGCCCACTGCGTCTATTCATCAGATTCCTTTTTCAGCTGAAATGAATGGCTCGGGCTCAGCTTACTGTACCGCTTTTGCGTGCGTCAAGGTCAAACATGCTGCTGTAAATCAGAATTGCTCTTAATTGTGCTGAACTGATACGGCTTTGTAGGTTAAAAGTCAGCGTGTAGAAAGCACATTGCGCAAAGCCAGCTGGGAACGGAAGTGCTTGGAGACGCCTCTCTGAAAGGTGCGGTTTTTATCACATGGCTGGCACACATTGGGTTGGAGTTTTAGGTGCCACATACCAGTAAATCTGTTGCGAAAGCCACCACTTCTCTGTACAGAGGTGATGACGCAAGGGAGATTTGGCTGATGTTTGGGCCGTGCAATGCAGGTAAACCCCTGACATGTCATGTGACATCAAAGAAACTGGATTCAACTTGCAACTTCACGATGAAGAAAAAACATTTCTCAAAAGTGGGTTAATGATGTGATGTTGCATTTTCACTGTGACACGACAAAAATTTATGTAATTCCTATTGTAAGCATTTAAAATGCAGTAAATGGGTAAACATTTGTTTTGTCTTTTTATGGAATTCTTATTAAAAAGTTGTAACCATTTTTATTTTATAATTTGGAGCCAAATCTTAAATTCTATGTTCAACTCATGTTTATTTCTGTAGCACTTTTACAATGTAAATTGTGTCAAAGCAGCTTAACATAGAAGTTCTAGTAAATTGAAACTCAGTTTTCAGAGTTGAAGTTCAGCCTAGTTCAGTTCAGTGTGGTTTCATTTTCACTGCTGAAAGTCCAAACACTGAAGAGCAAATCTGTTGATGCGCAGCTCCACAGGTCCCAAAACCAAGCAAGCCAGTGGTGACAGTGAAGAGGAACAAAATTTCACCAACTGACAAAAGTGAAGGAAAAAAAAAAAAACCTCAAGAGAAACCAGGTTCAGTTGGGCACAACCATTTCTCCTCTGGCCAAACTTTTTGTGCAAAGCTGCAGTACAGGCACTGAATGATGAAGAACACTGGATGTCCATCATGGAGAAGCTGGATATTATTCTGTGGTGTGACTGTCTTGAGATAGTTTAATAAATTTTAATTTAACCGAAATTGTAAAATCATTAACCCTCGTAGGTCGAAGACTGCGTATACACAGTTTGAGGCGTCTTCTCCCGATAACGAGTTTTGAACGGACAGATAAGGTCAGTACAACAATCGAATCTGTTAGGTGTCTAACAGTCTAACATATATATATATATACATATATATATACATATATATATATATATATATATATATATATATATATATATATATATACACACACACACACACACACACACACACACAGTTAAAGTCAGAATTATTAGCCCCCCTTTCTATTTTTTCCCCAATTTCTGTTTAACAGAGAGAAGATTTGTTCAACACATTTCATGTATTCATAATAATTTTAATAACTCATTTCTAATAACTGATTTATTTTATCTTTGTCATGATGACAGCAAATAATACTTGACTAGATATTTTTCTATTTTGTATAGACAAGACACTTCTATACAGCTTAAAGTGACATTAAAAGGCTTAAATAGGTTAATTTGGTTAACTAGGCAGGTTAGGGTAATTAGGCAAGTCATTGTTTAATGATGGTTTGTTCTGTAGACTATCGAAAAAAATTTGCCTAAAGGGGCTATATATTTTGTCCTTAAAATGGCATTTAAAAAATTAAAAACTGCTTTTATTCAAGTAGAAATAAAACAAATAGGACTTTCTCCGGAAGAAAAAATATTATCAGACATCCTGTGAAAATTTCTTTGCTCTGTTAAACATCGTTTGGGAATATTTAAAAAAAGAGAAAAAAACTCAAAGGGGGCTAATAATTCTGACTTCAACTATATAATATTTCTATATTTTTTCTATACTATTTTTTGCCTATACTATTCAACTAGATGTATACTTTAAAGCTAAAAGTCCTGTCATGTAACATGTCCTATTAAGTCCATGTTGGTGGGGGTGGGGGGGTTAAAGACTTTTTTTTTAGAGATTAAACAGTGCAGGAAAATTGTTGCTTTTATGCAAATCAATGAAAAAAAAAATTCTTATGAGCATTTCTGTATTAATGACAATTACTACTTATTAAAAAAGAATAAAACAAAAGTTACTTTTGTATATTTGTAATGCAAGGAGACATTTCATGTGGTAACACATCTATATATTGTTATATATATATCAATATATATCTATATATCTTTCACGCAAGACAATCAATAACCTAATTTATGTTTTTTACTTTCATGCCTACCAAGAATATGTTTGTACTTGTATGCAATGCAATAAAGGAAATTACATTTTACATGGTGACGCGTACGAGACGCAACACAGAGCACACAGTGTATAAGAACACACACACGTATGCAATGCCTTGTTTTACTATTTCACAATTTTAATCAATCTTTCTTTCAAGGTACAGTACGTACAGCACATGTTACGAAGGCTTGCAAAAAAAAAAATACTGAAATAAGAAAAGAAAATAATGTTTTTCTTCACAGAGATACTGAGGTCACAGGGATTTGGTTGTGAGTCTCAAATACTGCATTTCTCAGCAGCATCAGGAATACGGTTCATTCAAAGTCTGAATGCTAATGTAATGTTTCACGACTGCCTGCTTCACAAAGCAAATAAAAAAAAAAATCCTTTCAATTCAGCAGTGGTCTAAAAATGTGCCTTGTCAGAGGAAAGACACAAAAAGGCACTTAAAAATCAGAAGAAAAGGGTCGACAGATAAAAAAGGATCATCATTTCATTTTTATACATTGAAACTAAGTAAGGAATGCTAAAAAAACTAAGGCACATGGGTTTGAAAGTGCAAGCCAATAGAATCACTTCTGTTTTCTCTTAAAGAAAAATAGTTCACCCAGAAATAAAATTTTACTTACTCTTTTTGTTTAGGAAAAAAGCTGAAAATCGGTAACCATTGACTTCCATAGTAAGAAAATGAAATGCAATAGAAGTCAATGGTTACAGGTTTCCTATTATTCGAAATATCTCCTTTTGTGTTTAACAAAACAAACTCATCATGTTTTAAAATAAGAGTGAGTGATGACAGAATTTCTGGGTGAACTACCCCTTTAAACCACTCCAGAAACTCTCAACTTTCCTCTCGGAAAAATCGGTCAATGATTTACTTTCTGGTTTCATTCACCCATCATGCACTGGACCATTGATGATTGCAGGAGTTACATCTGATTTATTATGGATCCTCAAATTCCATTTAATTCAGTCCCTTTGCTATTAATAAATCATTCATATTTGTGCTACTAGAGGAATATACAATGTCATCAGTCATTTAATCAGTTAGTGTAGCTTCAAGCTCTTTAAATCATACTGTGATCTGCTACTTCCCTATTTCAACCACAAAGTGTAACTTAAGGCACCGTTTGGTGGAAAGAGGAACTTTAAAACAGCTATTCGCCTTGAATTATGGGATTATCCCCTGGATTGACTCCAGACCAAACAGAAAGACGAGGGATGCTAATGAGAGGCGATGCTAGCCATCACCAAAATTGGCAATTAACTAGTAGTGATTGGAGTTTATTTTACAGTAATAAATACTGTAAGAGCTAAATATAGTTAAGACGTGGCACAAAGTTATACTAAGGAGCTGGGCTTAAGGTGAAGTTGAGTAGAATAATTAAATAAAACGCCTGTGGTTGTTTGTTGGACTACAATATAGTGCAGGGCTTTTTGTCCTTGAAGGGGTTTTCTGAGGCGGGGATGCCCATGAGCAGAGGGTCGTATTTGGCGTTTTCTCCACAGTAGCGCATCAGGTCAGCGGAGGCCTTGGATACCTGGAAGTGGTAAGAAGAGGATGTATAAAATGTTTGGTGGGATATTTGCACTTGAGTTTACACTTGCAGTTTCATTCCATTGACTTGTATTTGTGTGTTGTTTATGAATGAAAGTGATGGGAAACGCATACAAAATATTGCTGTTCCAAAGTTCAACAATGGTGAAGTCTGAACTGCAAATTTCATGGTATAGTATAGTATAGTATAGTATAGTATAGTATAGTATAGTATAGTATAGTATAGTATAGTATAGTATAGTATCAGGGCTTGACATTACCTTTTTTGATCACTAGTAGTTTTCCAACATTACTAGCCACTCGCCATTTTCACAATTTTGTTGTTAGGAAAATATAAATTATATGCATAATATTTGAGTTTGGCATGCTAAAATTACCTAATTTAGATTTTGTGATTTCCACTTGCCTCCTCATTCATTTCACTTTTTTGTGTATTGTATTGTGTTTGATCTTGCTCATTGAGCCTAAGCAAATGAGTTGTGGTTTCATAGTGTTGCATTGCAGTTAGTTTTTATTTCTCATGACTTTTCAGGGATCAACACTAAGAATTTACCCAAATTTTCTTTGGCCACACCAAAAAAATAAATAAAATAAAATTAATATAACTAAGCCAGTTAGTTTGCCAGAGATTGGTTGCAGCTGGAAGGAAATCCGCTGATTAAAAACTTGCTAGGTAAGTTGGCGGTTCATTCCGCTGTGGCGACCCTGGATTAATAAAGAGACTAAGCCGACAAGAAAATGAATGAATACCTAAGCCAAAGAAAGCAGTTGAAAAACATACAGTGTGCGATAATGAAAGGATGATCATGTGAAAGGTTAAACCGAAAGCAACCTGCTGCTTATAAAAAGACCTTAAAAATCTGCTCTTGAAAGCAGCTGGACTGGGTGCACGTCGCTTTTCATCCAGTCTATTTAAAAAAAGAACAGATTGTACCTGTTAGATTTCACCAAGAGTCCTGCAAGAACTCTTTTTTTGCCATTCCAGATGACTTAATCGATAAGTTACTTAAGTCACTGCAGAGATGTATGGATGCAGTCCTCCAAGCTCATGGGAGCCATACACAATATTAATTCTTTTTCTACTGCACCATGACTTTTAAGAGTTCACACTTAACTGATGATTGATTATAAGAAAGTTTGGCATGCTGTCCCGGGAGACAGCCCTGAGCTCAAAAGTTCCTTAAGCCCTGGGCTCCCTCCCGTTTGCAGGGCGAGAGGGAGCTTTGAGCTCAGGTAGATCTCGACAACTCCCCCCTTGATAAGAGCTGATGACTAAAATTAATGCTATGAAGAGATATGCTGCACGATGAGAGTTTGACTGTAGTACTAAATTTAGATTGATCAATTCACTTGTAGTGCATGTTTTTGGAATGTGGGAGGAAACCGGAGAACCCGGGGAAAACCCACGCGAGCACGGGAAGAACATGCAAAAAAGGTGGAGAGGTAGGGGTGGAAGGGGGGATTCTTCTAATCGAAAATGGCTGTAGTGAGAAACCCTGGCTCTTTATAGTGGGTAAGGAATGGCCTGATTGGTGGATCATACAGGCCAATGCAGAACCAGCCGTGTTCAATCATACACACAGGATCCTCTCGAAATTAGTTTATAAATAAACTTCACTTATTTTCTATACTGTACATTATTTCTGCTAAGTGACAAGACTTTTGTCTAAGCAAAGTCAGACCTCACCGTCCAAATTAAATCATTAAATAATGTTGCGTTGGCAGGTGTATTTGTCTGTGTGTTTGTCTGTCTGTCTCTCTCTCTCTCTCTCTCTCTCTCTCTCCATCTCATTATAACTGCAGGCCCCGCCCTAACTACACAGGCGACGTGCCCAGGGATTGGATGAAGAGACCCAAGGCATTCTTTAAAAAGGGAACAACTGGCGTGGGGCGGGAAAGCGAGTTTTGTTGGCGTGTTGTTTTTTAATTGATGTGATAAAGTTATTCCTGTTGCTAACTTGTTATCATTGAATGTGTTTCCTGTTCTGTTGTATAAGTTTTGACTTTGTGCTGTATATCCATCCGTGTTTCCCCTTCTTATTATTTTATTTTTGTTTTTTTTTATTTGTTTGTTGATTAATATTGTAAATATATTGTACACAGTAAGAGGCAGTAGAGGTGGACGCCACACTTTTCTTTTTGTAAATATTTTCTCCTGTTTTTGTTCTTAGTCAGGAAGGTAGGTGTAGATTTTGTATTTATATGTCTGTCATTTTATTATGTGTAGTAAGTTTCACTTGAGTGTTTAGTTGGTGTGTAGTTTTTGTTCATTATTTTTCTGTGGGTTCACTCCAATGTAGTTGGCTTCACGTTTTTTTTGGGTGATAAAAAAAGAAAAAGACAAAAAAAAAGACAAATAAAGAGACCCCATACAAAAGGGTCATAAAAGTGAATTTTATTTGTCAGGTGTTCTTTTATGTTGCGGCCTTGACCCTAGACCAGGGTCGTAACAATATCAAGTCCTGATCATATTTTTTTTTGGTAAAATAAGCGTAATCTAGAGGCCTTTGCCTTTTATATAAGCCACTTCTGATACTAAATGATCAACTAGAAGTCAAGTTATTATACTGTATGCTGTTGGATAGGCGATAAGACTTTTCCCAGGTAGTGTATAACAAAAGAAATCCATGGAAGTAGAAGTCTGCAGTTGAAAAAACAAAATCTTCATGTTAAGATTTCTTTTCTTTTTAGACTTACTCTAGTGATCCACCTTTTTAAAACTGACTTTGTGGCTTAAATAAAGTAGAGGACTAACCTTTATCCTCTCGATACTGGCCTCGACTCTCAGCTGCTGTACCATCCTCCTAGCATGAGCCAGATTGTTTGAGCCCGACATTTTAGAGGACATTTTCAAAACCATATACCTGCAACAAAAATAAAATAAATGCAGTTACAGACTCTACAGATGTCATAAAGCACAAATCACAGCAGCAAAGACTGCAACATTAGTAGCATTAGGGAACAGAACATGCCTGACGCACTGGCAGAAGGTTACGACAACACTGCATTGACAAAACACCAGAACAGTAACAAATCAAATCTAAAGCAATTTTTCTTATAAAGACTTATAAAATGAATTCAAAAGAGAATGGTCTGCACAATTAGACAACATCTGACTGAACTGGAGTCAGTATTTAGCACATGTTTTGTCCTCTACACTCCTCCACATTCACACAGACAGGAAGGTTATGAACTAGCTACGCAACAATTACTGACAGACACTGAAATGACGGTTGATTCTCAGCAGATGAAATGATGAAACCTTCTCAGAAAGCAAACTATTACAGAAATGTGTCTAATGTGGAAAACACATACTGCCCTGAGCTTTTAGTGATTTACCTCCACTACTGGATTCATTATGTTATGACAGTTTCGTTTATTATGCAGTTGCGTCAGGGCTTTCATTTTGAATATTGTTGTTGCTACTTAAACTAATCTTCCCTGAAAGACGTGAATCTTTAAAGGTAGTTCGATTGATTAGCCAGTCTAACAGGATGCATTGAAGGAATAGCTTCTGTGATCAAAGAAGGGATGGGTGAGAATGCTTGGAAGTTTAAAATTCTTCTTGTTTTTTTAAACATTTAATGCTTTAATTAATAACGTATAAAAATGTCTCTCTCCATTCAATACATAATCTATTTTAAATGGAAGAAATCGTCCCACGCTGGAATCAGAATCGCACCAGTGAGCCAGTCATTGAGTCTAATGATTTCCTTAAATTTGTAAATGAATGTAAATATATCAATTCAGATTTAATTTCAGTTATATTACTGAATAATATTCAAATGTTTTAAATTTGTGAAGAAATAGAATAGAATTTGCAAGCTCTTATACTGCGTCTGTTAGTTGATGTATTATACGATAGAGCTTTGTTCACCAAACAAATGGTTATAATTGGTTTTGCATTGTAAAGCTTTTTGGTGCAGATCCAATACAACATGAGGCCAGGGATGCGAAGATTACCTGATTTCTGTAGCCCCTTTCACACATACAGACCTTTCCAGAAAATTAGACACATTTAGCTGCTAGATGTTAGTCAGATAATATTTCTATGTTCCTTCTTAATGCAAACTGTGTAAAAAATGATTGATAAAATGCTTATGATAAACCGCTGTTTGTTTACCTTCAAGCTGTTTGAAATGTGCACATGAAGCAGAACACACACATAATAATATTGATAATTCCTTACATTTATATAGCGCTTTTCTGGCCAGTCAAAGCGCTTTACACATAGGGGGGAATCTCCTCATCCACCACCAGTGTGCAGCATCCACCTGGCAGCCATTTTGTGCCAGACCGCACACCACACACCAGCTGATTGGTGGAGAGGAGACAGATTGATGAAGCCAATTATGATTTTGGGATGGTTAGGTGGCCATGATGGACAGAGGCCAGTGGGCAGAATTGGCCAGGATGCTGCCGTTAAACCCCTATTCTTTTCGAAGGACATCCTGGGATTTTTAACGACCACAGAGATTCGGGACCTCGGTTCAATGTCTCATCCCAAAGACGGTGCTCACTGAGCAGTATAGAGTCCCCGTCACTATACTGGGTCATTAGGACCCACACAGACCACAGGTTGGGCGCGTCTACTGGCCACACTATCACCACTTTCGGCAGCAACCTAGCTTTCCCATGTGGTCTCCCAACCAGGTATTGACCAGGCGCAGCCCTGCTTAGCTTTAGTTGGCGACCATGTGAGAGTTGCAGAGAGCTAGCTGTCGGCTACATATTATGTACGTCTCGACAGGTTGGAAAATGACCAGCTAAATCCAGCTAAAACCAGCTTGACCAGCTGGTCATCTCCTAGCCTGACCAGCTAAGAGCAGGCTGGAAATGGCTGGAAACCAGCCTAGAAATGGCTAAAACCCCTCTAAAACCAGCCTGGTCAACCAGCTAAAACCAGACAACTAGCCTAGGCCTGTTTAAGCTGTGCACACTCCGCTCCCAATATGCGCACATCTCCATTGGAAATAATGAACTTGCGTGCGGAAAAGACGCAATATTTGAATGGCCTGCTGCTTTAGTTAATGCAATGTGTGTGCGTATTAACCTCTGTATTGTTACACTTGTTTGTTTTATGCAACAGAACCGCGGCATTGAGAAGCCTCTATGATTAATTAACTGTAATGAATTTAAGCATAGGTAATAGTGAAATCGGCTAATCATTGCAACCCTACATACAATATCAGAGCATTGTACATAAGACCTTCCTACAAACATATCCAAATGTTTTCAGCTGCCTGCACCACTTGCTTATGGTCACTTGACTCACTCTATGCGCAGCCTTCAACTGCAGCTCGTGCTGTATTGAACGAACACACATCACTTCATAACTAAAGCGACCATTTTTTGACTGAACTAAATTTATTTTTGATGTCTTGGTCACACTATTTGTTGGGCCAAAACAAATTGCCTTGGGGGTTGGGTTCGGCCCACAGCCGCCAATTGAATAGCCCTGCCTTAGACTATAATTGTACAACCAAAATCTATAATCGTTGCATCCCTACATGAGGCGGCAACTAGCTGGTTAGCATCGATGCTAGATGTTAAGCATTGACTTGGTGTGTCCTGTTGCTATTTCCTGGGTGAGTTCATTAGGAATATGTGCCCAAGGATACATTTTTTAGTACTGACAAACATGTGCTAAAAGGCACATATGACTGTGTTTTGTGTGTAAAATGAAAGCTATGATGTCAGACTTGGGAAGCAGAGTAGACCGGAGTTTGAGTCTGGTGAAGGACCGTTACAGAAACCAGGTAAAATAAAACCCAAAAGGGCAGTGTGAGATCATAATGCAACCATGCAGCAGTGATAGCTTTTGAAAACACTATTGGCTGAGTTATGGAAAGGGTGCGGTGGGTCAGTCGATATCAAGCTGATATACTATGCACAACGAGCCAACCGGATTCTCTAACGGACACGCATAAGAAGGACATTAAGATTGGCAGAAATGTACACAGTGGCCTTTGGTGGATTTATTAGAAATGGCATAAGAAAACATGCCCTAATAATGTGTTTGAGGTTGTCAAAAACATACACAGATGCCTCTAGTGGATTTTGAAAAAACTGCAAAAACAAGTAGTCCTTTGTACGTATTTCTTGGTTCTCTAGAATGCATTCCTTGGCACATAAGTCTAGGTTACATAAAACGATCCTGGAATCAAAAATCAAATACAGCTAATTATGTAATCCACATACAAAAAATTAACCAAAGAGCTCTTACACCATGATCTTATTACTTGCCCATTCTTTTAATATTTGTATAGAGCGTTTTTCTTCTTTCCCACATCCGATCGGGTAAAGCAGCCATCTTGACCCACATGTAACATACCATTCAAAAGTTCCAGTAATAAGCCACACATATAACACTTCCAGGTTCCTGCATTGCCTGAACTTCAAATTACAATGAGGCAGTGAAAAGCATCTATTGTCACTTCTAAACATTGTAACAAAGGCTTATCCTCGCTGACTTCTGGGTAAAGGAAGAGGAAACATCAAATCATTGTTTTCCTCTGATGGTGTTTTGTTTGTTTTTTTTATTTCAGACGGGACATGTCCTACTTTACCTGGCTTGAGGAAGATTGGCTCTGAAATGATGCCAAGCACTTACAAAAGCAGGACAGTGTTACGGTGCATGCCATGGGGAAAGATTACATAAACGCAAACTCTTCCGGAAAAACATGCAGAGCCTAACTGTCCTGTGTAAGCCATTTAAGTTCAATTGTGCCAAAACAACAGATTTTTGAAAATATTTATGTATATGCAAGATAGAAGAACAACTGCAATTTAGCATACAGGTAATATAATGGCAAAAACAAATTTATATATATATATATATATATATATATATATATATATATATATATATATATATATATATATATATATATATACATATATATACAGAAAGTCTTATTTGTTTTTTTTCAGCTAGAATAAAAGCATTTTTTAAAACTATTTTAAGGACAAAAATATTAGCCCCTTTAAGCTATTTTTTTTTTTTAGAGAAGCTACAGAACAAGCTGTATAGAAGTGTCTTGAAAAATATCTAGTCAAATATTATTTACTGTCATCATGGCAAAGATAAAATAATTGAAAGTCAAGATTACATACAATAAGATTATTGTGCCTCTGAAAAAGCTCAAATCAGTATCTGATTAGCTAATTAACAACATTTAAGTTAATTGGAGGCACATCTGTAGAATAGTATTTAAGGAAAACCTCAAACACACTGCTTCCTTGTGTGACAACATGGGAAAATCAACAAGCCGGAATCAACAAAAAAGCCAGATTACAATTTGCTAAATTACACTGGGAAAACGAACAATTTTTGGAAACATGTCCTGTGGTCTGATGGAACTAAGATGGAACTGTTTGGCCATAATGACCAGTGTTACATTTGGAGGACAAAGGGGAAAGCTTACAAGCCTAGCAACACCATCCCAACTGTGAAGTAGGGGGCGCAGCATCATTTTGTGGGGCTGTTCTGCTGCAGAAGGGACTAGTCCACTTCACAGCATAGATCATGAAGAAAGAACATTATGTAGTACTGAACACTTCTGGTGCTCTTAATGTAATTTTTTGAGTGATTTCAAATGTGGAAAACTTTTCAAATTAAAAATTATTTAAAAAAAAACTTTTAAATATTAAAACATGCTTTGCATGATACACTACCTGACAAAAGTTATATCGCATATCCAAGTTTTAGAAACAACAAAAAATAACTTGACTTCTAGTTGATCATTTAGTACAAGAAGAGGCTTATAAGCAAGGCAAAGGCCTCTAGATTACACTTATTTTACTAAAATAAAATCTGATCAAGTCTTGATTTTTAATTATTTAATTAGGACAGTAAGGTCTG